TTCAGACGTGTGCTCTTCCGATCTCAGGGCGCAGCAGCAGCAGCAACAGGCTGCTACTCAGAGCCAATATAATGCAGATACTGTACATCCGCACGCCTAACAACGCTATCTATCGACTAATAATAAAAACCACTGAAGTGCCTCGCAGCAGCAGCAGCTGCTGCAGCAGCAGCAGCAGCAGCAGCTGCAACCACGGCATCAGCAGCAGCAGCAGCAGTAGCAACAGTAGCGGCAGCAACAGCAGCAACAGCAACGGCAGCAGCAATACCTGTAGCAACAGCAGCCGTAGCAACAGCAGCTGCAACAACAGCAGCCGAAGCACCTACTGGTGCGGCAGCAACAACAGCTGCAGCAACAGCAGCTGCTGCAGAGTCTGCAGATACTGTTGCTGCTGCTGCTGTTGCTGCTTCTGCTGCTGCTACGTTCTTACAGCGGCAGCGACAGATGAAGCCAAGAGAAGTACAGCGAAGGCAAACTCACCTGTTTGTTGCATGCATATAATATATATAAACACATATATATATAAATATATATATATATATGCATATGATTATATCTGTATGATTACATACATACGATTATATATATATACAAAAAATCATATATATATAATCTTATACATATTATACATATACATATATATATACATATAATATATACATATAATATATATATATATATATACATGTGTGTATAATCATATAATATATAATATATATAATATATACAATCCTATAAAATAAATATATTATAAATATAATATAATAAATATTATATGAGTAGATAAACAGCTGATATTTAGAGATGGATGTCGTTGCAATTTTTGCGACAAGTGCCGAGGAGAGAGTAGCAGCAAATTGGCCTAAGTGCATTGTCTCCACCTAGCACTTGAGCTAGCTGCTTCTGCTGCTGCTGCTGCTGCTGCTGCTGCTGCTGCTGGTGGTGGGTGCTGTTGGTGAGGCCGCTCAGGTCCCACTGACTCAAAGCTGAGGTGTATGTGCAGCTTGCGAGCTGTCTCTTAATTTTTTCTTCTTGAGATGAAGGTATACAAAACCACTTTGAAAAAGACAGATGCAATCTGCTGCTGCTGCTGCTGCTGCTGCTGCTGCTGCTGCTGCTGTCTCGCTTGCGCTTTGCTCCCGATAGAGACAGTGTCTCCTCTTCATCTGTCTCTTCTTCTTCTGCTGCTGCTGCTGCTTCGGCTGCTGCTGCTGCTGCTGTTGGTGCCCCTTTACAAGCATCGGAAGCGGAAGCACCAGCTGCTGCTGCTGCTGCTGCAGGAGACGCAGAGACAGTCTGGGCAGCATTCGCATCCAAACAGCTGCTGCTGCTGTTGCTGCTGCTGCTGCTGCT